CTCTCAACAGATTCTACGCCCGCTTCGACGATGTGAACATCCCCCCCAGCACCAGGCTTACCCCTCCACCAGGAGAAGAGCCGCTCAGTGTGACCGCAGCGGAGGTGAGGAGGACCCTCCAAAGGATCAAACCACGTAAAGCTGCTGGTCCCGACAACATCCCTGGGCGGCTGCTAAGGGAGTGCGCACACCAGCTGACGGAGACATCTTCAATACCTCCCTCCAACAGGCGACAGTCCCCACCTGTACAATCATCCCTATACCCAAAGCGTCCACAGTGACAGGCCTGAATGACTATCGGCCAGTAGCCCTCACCCCAATAGTAATTAAGTACTTCAAAAGACTGGTCATGGCCCGCATCAAGGACTCAATCGATGTCGCTGAGGACCCACACCAGTATGCATACAGGAACAACAGATCCACAGAGGACGCTATCTCCTCTGTAATTCACACTACTGTGGACTTTACCTCAGCCTTCAACACCATCAGACCGCAGACCCTGATACAGAAGCTCAACACTCTTGGACTGAGCTCCACCCTCTGCAACTGGGTCCTGGACTTTCTGTCAGACAGGCCGCAGTCTGTGAGGATCCATGGCGTCTCCTCCTCCTCCGTCACGCTCAGCACCGGCTCCCCCCAGGGCTGCGTGCTGAGCCCCCTCCTATTCACCCTGCTCACACACAACTGCTCGGCACTACATCCGAGCTGTCTGATTGTGAAGTTCGCGGATGATACAGCCGTGGTCGGACGTATCACAGCCAACGATGAGTCCAACTACAGGCAGGAGAAATTTTTGTGGGAGGGTTGATGTAGAGAAAACAACCTCTGCATTAACGAGGAGATGAACATCGACTTCAGAAGGGGGAGACACCACCCTTCCCCGCGCATTGGAGGGACAGCGGTGGAAGTGGTCTCCAGCTTCAGGTATCTGGGAGTACACATCTCCGATGACCTCACTGGAGAACCAACACTTCCTGCCTGATCAGGAAAGTGCACCAGCGCCTCTACTTCCTGAGGAGACTGAGGCGTGCTGGACTGGGGAGCTCAATCCTAACCTCTTTCTACAGATGTGTGGTGGAGGGCGTCCTGTCCTCCTGCATCACCGTGTGGCACGGCAGCTGCTCGGCTGCGGAGAAGAAGGCTCTGCAGAGGGTGGTTAAGGCTGCACAGAGGACCGTGGGACACAATCTCCCCACCACCACGGACATCTACACCACCAGATGCAGGAAACAAGCCTCCTGCATCATGAAGGACCCCACCCACCCCGCAAATGCTCTGTTTGCCCGCCTCCCCTCAGGAAGACGGCTACGGAGCATCAAAAGCAGGACCACCAGACTGAGGAACAGTTTCTTCCCTAAAGCTGTGAGACTGTTGAACTCCGGTGGACCCCTGTTTGACTCTGCCAATTACCCTGACTGGTGTCAGACAAAGAACCTGCTCCTGAACATCAACAAGACAAACGAGATCATCGTAAGCCCAGCAGCGCTTGCACAGCCTGCGACGGATGAGAAGGGCCCACTCTGTTACATTTGTCACCCCATACTGTTTATATTTCTATTTACCTTATAGTTTATCTCAACACACTTCTGAACTATTTACATGTATATTTACCATTAGTTTATATTCAGCACACTTTCTGTTCTGCACTACCTGTATACATATGTATATGGACATACTTCAAGTAATTACTCATGGCAAGCTGTGTACTTTGTACCGTGTACTTGAGTTGCCAAGCAACAACATTTCGTTGCCAGACTCACTATTTTTTTGTGTTTCCGTGCAATGACAATAAAGAAAGTCTATGTCTAAGTCTATGTCTAAATGAAAGCTGAGAATCAAATAGAAGAATCTTCAGGGCAACATTGAGAAATTCAATAAGGGTTAGGATTAGTGCCAGCACTTTCTGCTTTTACAATACATTGTATTGTATGGACAATATACAACTTTATATTGTCATATGTCTATCACATAATCTTCTTAAAATCATTAGACCAGCATATACAGTATAAGGAAATAGTGATACACATTCCTGCAAGTCAAAAAACATGTTATAACATACCAAAAATCTTGTCTGATTCTGTTTCTTTCCTCTATTTCATACCTTTCTCCTTCCCAGGTAGCTCTGATGTGGTCTGTGGTTTACATCCACCTTTTTTGGGACCTTTTCTGCTTTCGTCTGTTTGATTCTGAGATCTTGATTCTCCTTTAAACAAATGTTTTTTGGAGAACTCCTGAAAAAACATAAACATAAGGTCACTTAGACTGAAAGAAAAACGAGACAGCAAAAGGATTGTGTATATCTATTTTACCTTGTTCTTTTGTTGTCTCTTTTCTTTTAGTTTGAGTTTCCTCGAATCTTCTAATGAAAACTCCACAATAGGTCTCTACAACATAAAACAGGTTTAGAAGGAAATTTGTATCGTAAATATTGCCCTTAGTTGACTGTTTATTAATTGCACAAACTGTTTGAAAGTCAAACCTTGTTTGACCCAAAAATGTCAGGGTTGTTGTTGAGGTGACGGAGCGTCCTTAGAGCATGATCATGCTCCTGAAACTGGACAAAGCCATAACCCAAGGACCGCCCCATGGCCTGACCCTTCACTGGCTTTTTATCATACATTACCCGACACTGAAAAAAAAAGAAAATAAACCTTTAAAAGCAGAACACAAGAACAACCTGCTGGACACAATGTCTTTTCTGCAGATAATTTCTCACCTCTGTTATGCGCACACCCTTAAGTCCCTTCAAAGCTTGAAGACATAGTGCTTTCAGTTTCTTATTGTCTACGGATTTCGAAAGATTGTGAACACACAGACGAGTCTTTGATACAAAAACATTAATATCCCGAAGCTTGGCCCTCTTTACTTCTTCAAACTATATAGAAAAAAATTTGGACAAAAAAAATATATTATTTTGATGAGTACATTTTGAAGTAAAAAAAAAAAACACACAAATATTCTGGTTAAAATATGTGTTGAAAAATGAAATGCTCACTCTTGTTCGTTTGATCATGTCGGATTCAGACACACCCTCAGCAACCTTGGTTCCAGCTCGAATCACTAGTTGATGAAGCAAATATAAAACCAAAAATCATATTAAACATAAACTCATGTTATGAACACTAACAACACATCATCTAAGCACCATATTTTCCGGAATATAAGTCGAACTTTTTTCATCTTTTGGATGGGTTTGCGACTTATACTCAGATACGACTTACATATTAAAATATATAATTTCACATGTTTGACATTTTCACACTGACAACTGCAAAAGGGCACTCTAGGCTTGTGTACTAGTATCTACTCCACAATGACTTATATATGTTTTTTGTTGTTGTTGTTCATTATGCTTTTTTTGGCGGATGCGACTTATACTCCGGAGCAATTTATAGTCCGGAAAATACAATAAATAATAAATTAGGAAACAAGGGCATTGACAATATCACGACAAGGAAAATAATGTGTAATGGTTCAAATACTACATCAAATCTGTATAATGCATTAAAAATGTCAAATCCAATAATGACGAAAAAAAAAATGTGTGGTTTGAGATAATTAACTTACGTCCCTCTCTGGCCAGGTACAAATTTCTGGTTCCTGTTTCAACCTTCACTTTTTTGACCTTCAGTGTAGTGGCATCCTCTCTGGTCACAGCTGCCACGATTAAGAGCTTCCTGCCATCCACACGAATGCCACCATTCTGCGACACACACAAAAACAACACTTCAAACACATCATCACACAAAATAGAAAGGCAGATGAACAGTGTGTGAGATTGCAAGTCACCTCAGCCTCATCCTGAGCTACAGCTATGCATTTGTCTGCAGCCTCTTTTGTCTTAAACTGACAAAAGGCACAACCTAGCAAAACAGGAATTAAGAACATGAACATACAAGGTTGTTACCCAAAGTAACTAGAGTATTTTAATAAAGCCCTGCTGACTGACCTTTTGAATGGCCTGTGTCTGGGTGAAGAACAACCTTTATGTAATTAAGTTCTCCGTACTGGAGAAGAACTTCTTCTAGAACGTCCTCCTCAGTGTCAAAAGACAGGTTCCTTAATTAGCCAGGAAAAAAACAATTATTGTGGTAAAGTATTAAATATAACAGAATTGTATAAATTAGAAATCAATTACATTTTTGGGGTTTTAACACAATTTCTTGACAACAAGATGTTTATATTCTGTCTATTGCATTTAATCCCATTCGCAAAAAGATATTAATTTTCATCCACATCAGTGGTCAAAATATTTTGAGTACCATGAAAACGTGGGGGTAAAACTCTTCAAATATGTATTTGTACTTGTATGTAAAAAAAAAGTTGAGACATAGGCAATTGCATACCTTATAAAAATGGTTCTGCCTTCTTTCACGTCTGAAGGGAGACATTTCTTAGGGGTTTTCCTTTGGGCTGCAGTGAAAAACAGCAAATGTATAAAAATAATTGATATCATGTAAAGAAAAACAAAACAAAGACAAGAGACCAACATAAGAATTTTTACTTGATTCTCCATCATCATTGTCCTCATCCTCCTCTTCATCATTCTCATCATCTTCACTCTCAACAGGACTCTCATCTGACCCAAGGCTACTTCCAGCTTCATTGTCATCATCTTCCTCTTCCTCACTGTGTTGTTCACTGCTGTCATCCTTATCTTCAGTTTGAATCTTTTTTACATGCTGCTTATCTGGTTTGTTCAGAATTCTTTGGAAAAACAAAAAAGACATCTACTTATTCTGTTATTTAAAAATATTGTGGAAAAATATATTAATAAAGTATATAACATTTTTGTTGGTAAAAAAAGGTTTCACACGTTTTTGTTGAAGGTGAAGCTTGTGTCTGTTTTTCATCATCATCTGTTTCAGGGTCTGACTGTTTTGCTGTGTCCTTTACACCTTTATTTTCTGTGACATAAACAGAGTTGTTTAGATTTTTACTTCCTGAATTACCACAATGCTGACATACATCTAAATTATTAAGAACAGCAATATAATTTTACTGTGTTAAAGAATAAAAGGACATGGAGGAAAGTGATAACCTGGAGTTACAGACTGGAGTGCAGCCATATACTTGTCTTTAGCTACAGCCCAGTCAACTGCTACCTGCCTCCCTGTTAAGAAAAAAAAAACATTTAAATATATTTTAAATTTACCAGTTTGGATAATTTTTTTTATGTTTTTCAGTCACCTACCTTTTATTTCCTTCAAGTTCATTGCACTGAGTGCTTTGGAAGCCTGATACACAGTTTTAAACATGACAAATGCAAATCCTCGCATCTTCCCATCTATAATAAAAGCACAGATTAAAGGAGCACATAACAGATGACAATTCATAGTACATGAATATCAGAGACATGGTAGTTACTATTTTACCAGGTTTCAGAGGGATTTTTGTCTCCAGAACTGCACCGTACTTTGAAAAAACCTCCTTCAGATCATCTTCTGAACACTGTTACGGATAGACTCATTACCCTGAGGACTCAGTGACTTCAAACCTTCAACTGTAATCACAGGTAACTCTAGAGCACAGTACCTTAAAACTGAGGTTCCTTATAATGAGTTTCGCTTTCAGCTGATTCGTCCTGAAGCCTTTTGGTTTCTGCTCATTCTCCTTTGGGGCTAAATCAAAGATAAGAGTATGATTATGACAATGCAACTGCACTCACATGTAGCCTGTAATAATAAGCCCCCAATAATCTTTTCAATAATTGTTCTGATCTGAGTTAGTGACGTGGAGCCCAAAGTCATATGCACAAGTCAAAGTTTCATTGATGGATTTTTACTCCATTTAACATGTAACTATTTCTGTTATCCGTCTTAAACAATACTTTTTTCTGCAATGACTCCATTTCAACTTTTCCTAAGACTCTTTGATGACATGTAACTGAAAGTAATGAGTCAAGTGTATTCCTTAGATCCCGTGATTACCTATTTTGTGATATACTATTTTTACAGTATACATTACTTCTTACTGAGTAGATATATAGAAAAGAAATGAAAAAACACTACCTTACATGCGTATTTTCCCGTTACAGTGCCATCATACATACCCTTTTTCTTATCCGTATCCTTTAGTTTCTTTTTGGCCAATGACAGAGAAATCCGATGTCCGTCGTATTCTTTGATTGTTTTCAGAGCTTGCTGGGCATCTTCTTCCATCGAATATGTGACATACCCGAATCCACGACATATTTCTAAGCCTGCGCCATGTGATTAAATGTGAAGATACATTTACTTTAATACATGCCACTGACTCACTGGATTGTTTTTAAAAACGTATAAAACTATGCATGACATGACAATTAGCTTGATAAACATTGTTGAACGCGACAACATCACCTTTCTCTCTGACCACAAAACATTGCTTGACCGGGCCAACTTCGGAGAAGATTTCTTCAAGTCGCTGGTTAGAAGCTGTGGCTGGAAGAGAAGCTATGTATAAGGTTGTAGCTGGCATGGTCTCCGTAGCAGACCTTAGAGCAGTGTTACTCTTTCTGGTTCGGTAACTACTCGGTACAGGGAGAATGGAATATATTTAACTGTGTACAATTCTATTGCAGATGAAATAAGTTAGTTGCAAAAGAAATATGTCACTTAATCATTTATATTAAAAATATCTCCGTTCCCTCGTGGTCACATGTTTACATGAACAGACACTAAACGGAAACGGAAGTTGAGCGGAAAAAGGAGAGTGATAGTACCGTCTATCGGCACGGCGGTGTACGACACCTGCGGTGCGTTTTTCTCGCGCATAAGGTTTTAAATGGTTGACGTCGCACCACAATTACATTTTTTCTGGGCTGAGATCCAACAAAAAATGTAAACGCGTCTGATATTGATATTCCCTGTATTTATTTAATTTATCTTTACTGCGCTGCTGTTACATGCTGATACCTTACTTAATAAAGAGGAAAGCAAATGAGTACAGGGGAAAAGTTGCATGGATTCACGTTGTGCAGACCTAAATTTGACAAAACTGGTGATCAGATGTTCTCCTCTGAATAAAGAAAAAATAATGTAAGTGAATGTATTTTAGATCACACTTGTGGTGTTACAATACAACAACACAGATAAGTTACAATAGCTTAATATAAGCATTTTTCACAAATAACAATAGAAAACAATTAAAAATGCTAAATTCCCAAGAAGACTCATGGCTGTACTAGCTCAAAAGGGTGCTTCTACTCAATACTGAGCAAAGGGTCTGAATACTTATGACCATGTGATATTTCAGTTTTTCTTTTTTAATAAATTTGCAGAAATTTCTACATTTGTTTTTTTTTTCTGTCAAGGTGGGGTGCTGAGTGTACAATAATGAGAAATAAAATAAACTTTTTTTGATTTTAGCAAATGGCTACAATGAAGCAAAGAGAATAACAAACAGATTTAAAGGGGTCTGAATACTTTCCGTACCCACTGTACCTCTTTAGTCCTCTTGCCTAAATTCTGTCAACCACTTGGTGCCTATTTTAGGTACATTTATTAACTTGTTATCAAAGACTCCATTGCCTCCATGACTTCACCATTGTTTAAATAGGATTTGTCCATTCGGCTGATTAAGTACATTGCAGTACTGGGTGCACCTCAGAATGCCTACTAAGACACGCATGCAAAAAGTAACAACTCCATATTCCCTTAAGACACATGTTTAGTAATTACATGTGTTCAATAAAAAAGTGGGTTAAACACAGAATTATACGGTTAGTGTTACTTTGTCTCCGTTTTATGTTACTCGGTGTTTGTTTACACCAGGTCCTGACATGGATTGCCTGTCCAAAGTCTGTTGAACAGTTCCACTGCAATCGTGCACTTTAGCACTAGTACAGTCAGCTAATCTGGTTCATGAAATACTTACATATGTTTAGTATGTCCTTCAACAAGGCTTCTGCATGACACCTGTCTGTCCTACAGCTACTGTTAAACTGTTGGTATGAGGTAAAGAAGTATAGCTACAGACCTATTAAGGTCACAGACATAGCAGTAAACTTTAGTAGTAGTAACATCAACATTATATAACCTTAAGCACCTTTTTGCCCATGTGGCTGATGATTCAGCAATACTTGTGCCACGAGGAACAAACTTTTTAGAAATATTTCTAATAAGAGATAAGAGATTTTCTCCAGATCTGTAAAAACATGCAAACCTTTGGACACAATGAATTTGTCTGCAATTTTGGGTTTGTTTCTTTAAAAACAAAAACAAAACGTGGGTTACTTTCGAGATCAATATCATGTTCAGTTATATGACCCTTAAGGACATATTGTTAAGAAAATTGCCATTCCCCTAAATGAACTTGTCAGTTTGAGAATGGTAGAACATGAGTAGAGCTCAAGTGGGACTTAGTTTTTTTAGTTGAGTTTGGCACAGGTCCATAAAGAAAACATGGTTTTCAACCTGGAAAAAAAGAAATTATCATTGTCTTTTTATCTTACAGGTTAGCATATCAAGTCTTTGGCCGATGCATATCAAAATGCAATTTGATTAGCTTCAAAAGGTTTTACCTTTTTTAACAGAAATATATTTCAAAAACTGTGCTTATCATTTGATGACTTTAATGAAGACCACATACTGAAACACAATGCTCTAATATGGTTTATTCCTAGCACTACAAGCGCTGCTAGTATATTTGACTGATCAATCATCAATTTTCACTGCAGCAGTATTCCACATAAATTAACTCTCCCCGTTGTTAAAAATAGTGATTATAGTTAACTAAGGCCAACGATAAGCCAGGCTTACACATCCCCTCAACACAGCCTTATTCTCACAATTTTACATACACTCAACCTTTAAATATAAGTAACAACATCCCAACAGGTTTTTTTTAAAAGTGGTGCACAAAAAACTTTCAATTTTGGTTAAAACACCTCACATCTTGGCTTTCAGTGGAGTGATGTTGAGGGAATGGAGGAAAGACTGCAAGGTGGTCAGATACTCCTGTGGATGCCTCTTTAAGTGACCTGCATGTGTTGAATTATTCCATTTCTTTGTTGTGATGTTCATGCCACGTTTCCGCCAGTACACAATCAGTTCTTCCAAAGCTTTTGCCTGACTTAAGGGATCATTCTCACAAAAGAAGAACAATGCAGGAGCAGTGACAGGTGTGTTCCAAAATACGTCAATGCTTGCATTAAAGAAGCCCACAGTTTGCTGTTTGAACATACCAAAGTAAAGCATGCTAGCTTTTATTATTAGCTTCTCCATTCGGGGATACACAGTCTTGCCAACACCTGGAGAGAGGGGGAAAAAACATGTGACATCCTTTGCTATTCAAATGCATTAGAAAGATGCACAAATCCTAATCATAATAGAGAAGCAATAATTCATTAATGTGGCTGAAAAGTGGGAGCAGCAAATTCATACACAAACCAAACTTCGATGACAAAAAGAAAAACAGTAAAAACTAAAAAATTCTAATACCTGTGGCCATTGTCTCCAGCGATCCCACCACCAAGCTATCAAAGACTTGGCCTTTGATCCTCTCTGTAAGCGCATGATATTTCTCTGTGTCTTTTGAGATGTGAACCAGGAACTGGCTAAATGTATAGCCACCTATGGAGAAGGCATGAACGAGCAGAGGACGGGACATAAAGCGCTCACTGTTGAGTAACTCAAGCAAACGCTTCCCATGTTGCAGACCCCAGCGTGGCCACAAGAACTCATACACCTGCAGATTGAAGGATATATTGAGTTTGTCTTACAGTTTTTCTATACAACTCAAAATGATACCGAAGGTGCTGCCACATCGGTACATAGAATCTCCAGAAACTAGAGCAAACCTTGCTTTAATTAAGTTGGCACTATGGATGACATATTCTACCATAATATATTAACTCTACAACACAGTGAGATTACAAAAACAATAAATGACCATGAAGTTGTAACTGCACTTACAACACTTCTTTAAAAAGCACATTAGTTTCAATATCAGTAGCTGGTAAAAAAGGTACATGTGCAGGTTATATAAATGTAACTTGAATAACATATTACTGTACAATACCAAATACTTTAGTCATACTGCAAGTACGGTATATTAAACAGAATCTATAACTTTAAGAATTCCAAATTTATACTTAGTACAAAAGACATCTATAAAAGATCGGTAAATGTTTCCATGCATTGGTAACAATGCATGGAAAACTGACTTGTCTTTTGCAGACAATCTAAATTCCACATCTACAGTATACGCAAAATCATTTGGAACAGGAACAGGTCAGACCAAGCTGTGATGTAATGCAGAGGTGGCAGCACATTGCTATAAAAACAAAAAAAAGTAATCAGCTTCTGAAGATCTTTTTGTGTGTTTCTTCAATTCCTGCTAGTATATCACGATTTCTTTATCTAAACAGGCCAAGATTTTAGTCAATTATGGGGTAATTTAAACTAGAAGATTATTACATTTCATTACATATACTTTTTGTGAGGTTTTTATTTGGTGGTGTGCTGTGTCGTTTTTCATGAGAATATATATGCATGTGACTAAAAAAAGTTGTGAAACACTGATTTAACAGGTATAGCAAATATGAACTCAATTAAACTTAACATCTATGTAAATATTTTAACTTGGAAAGCAGGTATTAATTGTTCTTGTTTTTTATACCTTAAATCTAAACAGAAACTGGCATTTGTTGCTTTAATGTTACTTTCATTGTGTTGCTATTTAATTAATCAGTGTGCAAAGCATGTTATTTTAAAATAAAATTTTGTACACAATAACCAACAAAACTCAGCTGCACTACAAACATGCCGCCAATATTTGTATCATGTTGAGGATTATAAGAAAGGCTAGAATCAGTCCCAACAGAAGATGCAATTTATACATGGAAAACTTCTTGGTCCTCATTTTACTCTGTCCTTACCTCACTTTCTACTACAAGCACATCAAAGCCAGTGCGGAAATAGATATCACAATACTTGGCCACGGCTTGAGGACGTGAGCCTAGCCATGGAAGCAGCAGCATTAGGGGTTTCTGTTCTTCTGATTTCTCTACTGGATCTGTAGAGGCTGTATTCATGTAGAATGTGACATTCTTACTCAGGCGGTGGGCGGTAATTCCTTTGCTCAAGGCTGTCCTAGCCAACATGGTTTTAGCTTAAAGGTTTTCTAATATAAAAAGGTTATCTTGTGTCTGTAGAAAAAAAGGAATTAGGTAAGAGTTACATTTTCACAACATTCAACATAATTTAAAGCAAAGTGGATTGCCAAAAGAAATTACAAACAAAATAGTATCATATCACAAATATCATATTATTTACTCATTTATAAAGATTGCAACATATAAATGTTTATACAACCCTGTTAGTAACCACAGTGTGCTTTAAAACCTGTAAAATGTATAATGACTCACTTTTAAACCATTTTGGGTCAACTTATTTATGTATTTGCGCTTATGTTTTGTACACTAACCTGAAACCACGCCTTGTTTGCGTAGTGTAAGCGTATATTATTTGCTTTCAACAATTAAGATTTTTTTTACTACTGTTAAAGACATACAAAAAACGTTCAAAGACCCCACTTTAGAAATTTTAGTTATTAAGTTCTTCCTAATGACTGTCCTTTCATTTTCCTATAGTTTTCCGATGACGTCACGCTACTACCCATAGTTCTGTAGTCCACCATCTTTTGCGGCAAAAGAGCGTATAGATAGATATTAAATACATAAAAGAACGCCGATAATGGTAAATACCTGTGTTATGTGGGGTTCTACCAAGCGATCTGGTAATGGTCATCGCAAGATAAAGTTTTTTGACATAAAGCGACCTAGGGAAGCTGACGGAGGATATTTCGACAGAAAGAAGGATGCTATGGCTTTTACGTAATAACCGTGCTAATTTCAACCCAGATCCAAGCAAAAGGCATTACAAAGTCTGTTCTGAACACTTTATTTCGGGTAATTACATTATACTTTTATTTAATTCATATGTTCAATGTCAATAAAATTAAAATATATCAAAATGCACTTTGCATACATGACAAATGCACACAATGCAAACGTAAATCCTCCATGTAAACTGTTATTCTAATGATGTTCACAAAAGACACGTCCGTACATGCCACTGTGATTTTTACATTAACACGCTGTATTATTGTGTTAATAAATACCGCATTATATACATTGTCTGGCTAATTTTCAATGTACGCCCGCTTCCACTCAGCTTTGTTGATTTCGTATGGGTCTTTTACATCCGTTATTTTCAACTTGTCCAAGTATCTTGCCTTTGTAATTGTGTCCAGTTAATCTCTATACAGCAATTCCGTCTGATCGACCTCAGACGATTTAATATTCTTGTATTTTGTTGTCATTATCAATTGTTTACGTCTTTTGTCGCACAACATGGCCAGTGGCGCGATGCATCATGGGTAATAACGATTATCGGAAAACCATTTATTGTGGCACTTTAAAGCAAATTAATGTGAGGGTCTTTTAGGGTCTTTGAAAGTACAATTATGACAACACCGAGCATCTTTCACATACACTTATCCTTGTTGCAGAATAAGTAATCGACTCTTCGTGGGTACTTCCTTCCAGTTTGAGAAATTGCCCACTTTGTCTACCCTGTTGTAACAGCTCTAGCTGGAGATTTAACAGAGGACAGTTAGGGTAACACTGCCCCTGTGTGGCAAAACAACAGGATAACCGGAAGATGAAATTGTGAAGACTAGGCATATCCTGATTAAATTAATCCGCAAACATATTTTTTAATAATTGAGTTTTAATATTCGGACGATTATTTAAATATGCTCAAACCAATCATTTATTTATGGATGAAACTCAATTTATTTCGTGTTCAGATGCTGGAGACTTTTATTGTTTTGTCATTTGGCCAACACGGTAAGAAGAATGTATTTGGTGTAGGATGTTGGAATGGATAGTTTTATAAACTGATTTAACTTAGCGGTGAACATGTTTTAGCACACAACAAACATACCTCACGAGGAAAAGATGCATAAAAAAGCAGTTTCCGGAAATTCTATGGATGTTTAAACGTCAAGCCACAGTATGTGTTACGAAAGTTACGAGAATGCATTTTGAATTCTGCTACGTTTTGGACATTTTATTTTGAGTGTAAATAAGGGTGTAAATTTCGCAGTAATATTTGTAAGAGGGTGTTATGATAGTAGTCCTAAAACAAATGTGACTTTTTCGACAGTTCTTAAAATGTTTACCGACCTGAAATGTCCTTTTTCAATGAAAAACTACATTTCTGCGACATACATAACCGTTGACCCGATTAAATGTTTTTATGTACTCGTATTTATTCTATTCATAATCTTACACTGAACAAGACAAAGCTATGACTGAGTTACATTCCATAAAGTCACTAACCTGTTGCTTTAGGCAAGTTTAAGTTTCACTGACGTTTGTTAGTGAAGAAAGAAATTCCAGTTAGCTGCACAGCGGTGGGGTTTTAATGGCTTTAGTTAGCTTTAGCAAGCAGTGTTTCAAGGTGTTCGGTTGTTGTTGAAATCACTATCTACGCTTTTTCATGTACATGTCTGTATTTGAAACGAACTTAACATGAACAAATTTGCGCAAAAATAGTTAAGCCAACCACCCCGAGACACAACAGTATTTTAGCTCGACTGTAGCCAAGTTTAAAATGGCGAAATGGTCATCCAAGTAACATTCGCCAAGGATGGGGCGGAGTCGGATACGGGAGGGGACATGCTAAAGTTGTTTTGTTTATTTTCTAATAATGCCTTTCTGCTGACCACTGGCAATTTAATAATGCAGCCATAAACATCGTGGTTTAAAAAGCAATGACGCCATCATTTGAACTTGGCTCTGGTTTGAACTTTTGACAGCTTCACAATATTCGTAGAAAAGCAAGTGCTTAGATCTTAAATCAAAATTCTGACTTTAATAATAAACAACTGCAGGTAAGGCTAAACTTCCATTATCTTACAGAACATGATGATTACAGTGTTTTACAAGTCCATCCCAAAATCATATGCAACATCTACTAGTATTAAGGAAAAAATGTCACTAACATGTAAACTCGTTTTACAATTTTACAGGGCAAACACAGGGTATTGTCATCACATAATTTCCTGTGAATTATTTGTGATTTTATACATTAAATTAATACTTCAGTAAGATCAGTAAGAAATTGTGAAACTAAAAACCACAGATTTTTCAAAGTGCATGGGAAATCTAACACTTAAAAATAGGCCGCAAGGTGAGCCACAAAAAAATCTTTCAGAAATTGAATTCCGCTCCGACGTCTGCGAACTACACTTTCTTTAGTTCATAAAAAGAAAAAGTTATGTTAAGCTTACAGCAAAAAGTTCATCACAAAAAATGTGCCCATTTTTTATAACAAGGCATTTTATACAGAACTAGCATCTTCAAAGATTTTGGGTCGCAAGAGGTGGCATGGTCGACACGTGATCAAACTACACCAATATGGTAGCAGCTTTAGGTAACCAGAAAACCAAGATGGCTGCCTGCAGAGTTTCATCTAACAGTACAGAAGAAGAGGAAAACTACGGAAGCGTATTGCTGCCACACTGAGAAAAGAAATTGGCTCAGTATCGTAATTACGTAATACGTTTCACGTTATTACGTGATAAGTTTTACGCTATTTCGTGATAAGTTTCGCGTTATTACGTGATAAGTTTCACGTTATCTCGTGATAAGTTTTACGTTATTACGTGATAAGTTTTACGTTATTTCGTGATAAGTTTCGCGTTATTACGTGATAAGTTTCACGTTATTTCGTGATAAGTTTTACGTTATTACGTGATAAGTTTTATGTTATTTCGTGATAACTTTCACCTTACAGTGGTCCCTCTCTATATCGCGATTCTACTTTTGCTCCCTCAGTACATCGCGGATTTTTTAATCCAATCTTTAAACATTAAAACTGTTTTAATTTCCAATATTTTCATTTTTCTAGCCTACAAGGAAAAAAAATAGTATTTAAATAAACGAAAAGGCATTTTGCAGCACATAAATACATACAGGGTAATACATAAAAAACATGTTCAGTACGTACGTTTGGGAAATCTAAGATATATGTACTGCCCATATGGTGAGCATTTAATTAATGTACGGTACCTCAATTGTACACATGATGGCACTGTTGCTGTTGTTCGACTGTTGATAACAGTGTGGGAGGTTCGTGAAGGGTAAAGAACCCTTGATGTCCCCAAAGAATCCCAAAAAAAGGACATATTACAGTATGCCAAAGACATTTTCTTCCCAAATGGATAAAATAAATTAGGAAGATTTGAAGAATTTAATCACGACATATTAGACTATCAGGAGGAAGCTTTTTTTGATGAAGCTATTACAGTTGGAGAACTGTACAGCATGCTCAGAATGGGAGTGTTGAGATTTTATCTGTGCACTAAAAAAAATGAATGAAAATGAGGATAATGAGGATAAGGAATGTGAAGATGAGCAGCCTATCCAAACTGTTGAAATAGAGGCAATCTTAGAGACATCTGAGGTTATTCTTGGCCCCTATCTTGGAGAACCCACGACTGGCCAAATGGATGACACCTTGATATATCAACCAGGCCTGGAGGTCGATGAGGACCTTATCATCACATCGATCCTCACTCCCAGAACAACATCAGCACTCAAGATCCAGCATCTACAGGTGATTTATCAAGTAGTTCTACAGCTTCATATGATGTTGGGTATATCACCATTACACTTCATAGGGTCAATCTTTTAGAGGAAATGATAGGCCAATTCAAGAATTCAGCACTTCTCGAACATAAACTGAGATACATTTACATTGATGAAAAGGGAACTGACGTAGATGGTGTCTCAAGAGACGTGTACGCTGCATTTTGGACTGAGCTACTGGAACATACAGCTGAAGGGGAGGACCAGAGGATTCCATCTCTGTGTCCTAAGTGGCAAGAAGAAGAGTGGAAGTCCATTGGTAGAACTCTATTGAAGGGATTTCAAGGATATCATGGATATTTTCCCTGTCGCCTTTCCCCCGCTTTCACAATAGCACTTATTTTTGGTGAGAAAGAAGTTTCAGATGATGTGCTTTTTGAGAGTCTTCTCCTGTATTTAAGTCAGTCAGACAGGAATCTAATCACCACTGCCTTAAAGGAGGATCTTTCAGAGGAGGAAAGGGATGAGTTGATTGACCTTTTGGATCGTTTGGATGTAACAGCACTTCCAACACCACAGAATTTAAAACACCTCTTTTTGAAAGTAGCACATAAGCAGTTGATCCAAAAGCCAAGATATACATCAGAAAAGATGTCATTTATTGCTGGTTCCACCCTAAGAGAAGCTTTTGTGAGCCCACAAGATGTCTTGCACATGTACGAAGACAAAACGGCAACAAATAAAAAGCTTTTGAAGTTGCTAGTTGCCTCTCCTTCAACTCAAGCAGAGAACCAGAGTCTTCGTTTCCTGCAACAGTACATAAGAGGCTTGGATGGTGCAGGTCTCAGAAGGATAAGATTTATCACAGGGTCAGATGTTATCTGTGTTACCAAAATTGAGATAATGTTTACAGCAGTAGATGGACTTGCACGACGACCTATCCAAGAGCTTCCAAGATACTTCCTATCCAGAGCTACGCACTGAA